TAGATGATAATTTATTTTAAAATATATTTTATAATAACAATTCTAAATGGAACATAAATCTTTCGATCTTTCTTATTTTAATTTTTTTTAATCAACATATACAATTTTATTATTCTGTCCGCTTGCCAAGTGGAGAGATTGTGAAAATCTTCATCAATATGGCAAGGGATTCAAATTTATTTTGTTCTTTCAATCTATCCAGTATCCATTCTTTAGTTACCCTTGTGAATGGGTTTAGTGTTCATGTTAAGGGGAGTGGATGTACTACCCCAAATTCCTACTTTACCATTGTCTTCTATTTAGTACTTACCTGAATCCTTGTGCAATCTTTTCTCTATTAGTCAAATCACACATTCATTAAATTTCTTTGTATTTTTTTTTATTCTTGCGTATTTAAAGATTTGTAAACACAAAAGATTATTGGTAAAGAATGAGTATCTAATGGGTTGTATTTGCTATAAAAAGAAGTTTTACATGCATTTCCAACTTCTACAGTCTCTACATTTCAACTTCATTATCAACAAGGTCATCTATCTTTGGGAGTACTTAGGAAATTATGTCTATAGTTAGAGTCTACATCATTGTAGTGTTGATGTTCCTTGTTGAAATAAAAGAGCTCTTGCTCTTTTTGAATTGTTTATTCTTATGGATGGGGTCCTTGTCCAGTTACTTCAAAGTTTGATTATAAATATTTTGTTACCTTTGTTGATGAATTTTCTTATGCCATGTGGTTATATATCATGGAATCTAGATCTAAATTACTCACCATATTTTGTCATTTTTTGTGTTGAAATTCATAGTCAATTGGTTGTCCCATATGTATCCTTCACAACGATAATGCAAAAGAATATTTTTCCACACTTTCATGAGTGACCTACAAGAGTTGGCGTATATAGAGCAACCACTTAGGTTGTTCAAAGGTATTTTGGTAACATGTGTTGCCCAATGAAGTCATTATACAACTTGAAGCAATAACCTGAATTTTGGTTTTGGAGATTTAGGATGTGGTTGTTGTATTTGGAATGTAGTAAAGTCAAAATGATCACATAGTGTTCTTATAAAAATACTAACCTTGGTAGAATTTTACTTGTCGTGCATTTTGATGATATTGTGATTACAAGAAGTGGTAACAAAGACATTGATAAAGTTTTCTTCAAATTCTATTTTAGACTAAAGACTTTGGGGCCTTGGATTACTTCTTGGGTATTGAGGTTATATACTCAAAAATAGGATCTTTTATCATAAAGGAAGTATGTTTTTGGACTTGTTGCATGAGAATAGTTTGATGGGAGTCAAACCATGCAAGACCCCTAAGTTACTAGGAGTTAAGATATTAGTAAATGGAGTTTCATCTTCAGGTCCACAAAGATATAGGCAATTGGTGGGCAAGCTTAATTAGCTCATTGTCACTAGGTCAAATATTGTCTCTTCTAGTAAGTGTTGTTAGTCGATTCATGTCCCTTTTTATTGACACTTAATGGGAAACACTTATCCGCATTGTTAAGTACTTGAAGAAAGCTCTATTAAAAGGGATTGTGTATCTTTATCATGGGAATATGTAGGTGGAGGCTTTCTCTAATGCAAATTGGGTTGGGCCTCCTATGGATGGTAAATCTACCACAAACTATTGTGTATTTCTGGGAGATAACTCAATCTCTTGGAAAAGTAAAAAAGAAAAATGTGGTAGCGAGATCTAGTGCAAAGGCAAAATAAAAGGATATGACTCAAACAACTTGTGTGTTGATGTGGGTGGGGAATTTTAGAGGAGATAGGATTTGATAATACCCTTCCTATGAAATTAAGGTGTGACAATTAAGTTGTCTTACATGTCACATTGGATTTGATTTTTTTGAAAGAATAAAGCATATTATTAAATTAAAAGGCGATCTTAGATTCCTTAGGCCTTAAGTTTTAATGATAATAAATATAGACGTTTTTATATTGAAAAGATTTCAGAATAAATTGTTATAAGGCTATTAGTTATCTTGATATTAAGTCTAATAAGCAAAGTACTTCATCTATAAGACATGTTTCGAATCTATATCATTTATGATATTTGTAAACTAAATCAATTTTTTCACATGATTCTTTAACAAATCGAAGTGAAAAAGCTTCTTTAATACTCATAAAAAATGAAAGGAATAAAAGACATGTTTTTATGTCAAAAAAGGACAAATAAATCTCAAATCGTGGAAATCTTTAGAAAAAAGTTGCTTTGACTAGAGACACACTTGTTTCCACTCTTTTTACCTAAAAGATAATAAGTAACTTTCTTGATTAGATAAGAAGTAACAATTTGATGAAATGCATTTAATACACCAACACACACTTTTCCTCACAAGGAACAAAGATGAAACAAACAAAGCAAGTTTATGAGAGATATTCAAGGATTTGCAATAATCATCTTTATAAAGCACATATATAAGAAAGTTTGATTATTCAGAAAGAAGAGAAAACATCCATTGTAAAAATTGTATTCATTCTTTCTGTTAATAAGCTTTGTTCTTATTTGATTGTATCAAATTTTGATAGTAAGATGAAACAACATAATCTTACTTAATTTTAACTTAATGTTATTGCTTTGAGCTTGGAGAGGCTTGATTGTAAAAAAAAAAATTTGACTGTAAAAGAATATTTAACTGTTCAAAGTCTAGAGAGGCTTTATGTTCAAAAAATACTTGGGTAGTTACTTGAAAGGACAAGTCAAAAAATACTTAAGTGAAAAATGACTTGTGAAAAAATACTTGTATCTTTGTAAAAGATACTAGAACCTAATCGAGTTGATCAAGAATTAAACATAATCTCGGTAGTTGAAACAAATCAATATAAAATACTTTATGTTCCTTCCACTTATCTCTTTGTCTGCACTCCTAAAGTTACAATACTACTTCACTATTTTAAAAAAGTGAGTTTTTGATTGATACTATACACCCCCTTCTAGTACCTCTCTTTTCTTTACACATATTGACATTGGTTCTCACTTTAAATGAGAAAAGGTACCACAAAACCTTATATCTACCTTCTATGTAAAGATAGGAGACCAACTAAGAGATGTGTTACAAAAATTTTGAAAAATGTGCGTATTTTAAAATTTTAAGTATCTATTAATAATTTTTCATGAAATAATAATTTATTTATAAGTTAGAACTTGACTAAAATGTTTACACAAATTCCTCTCCAAAATTCATATATTTAGTTTAGAACACAACTTTCAAAATAATTTAATGAAAAAATATGTCTAGTTGATTTGAGTGTAACAACTATTTGAACACCTTCAACATCAAAACATAGCCTCAATAATATAAGTTTAAAAAAAAGCTTATTAACAAATAATATTATCTTAGATGCTAATTATTAGATCTAAATAATTAATTCTCCAAAACTAAGAAAAGTTAGTTTTAGTTATGATCAATAAATGTATCTTAAATTTCTATTTCTTTCAAAAATTACTCCCAAATTAAGACACTTAATATATGTTTCTTAATATTAATTCTTAAAAAAATGAGACTATATTTTGAAAGACATAAATTTAATAAATTGCACTTCTTTGATAAACTCAAAAATATATTCAAAAATATATTGCCAAAATAATTAAAGAGGGATCACTTGCTCTAAAAATAAGTTTGCTTAGACTTATTTCACTCAATAATTCAAGTTTTACATCAAATTTAAACGATCTAACCATTGATTTAAAAGTTTTATATACAAAGATCAAATCTGTAAATTTTTATTGATTTGAATTAACAAAACGTAATATCAAATAGTTTTTAAATTTTTTAAAAAATTTATAGACATAATTTACGCATAAGAATCTTTAATTCAATAATTAGATGTTAAAATTTGAGTTATTAAGTAAAATATATTTAAATAAATTTACAACTAGAATAAGTAAATTTCCCCTCAAAAGATTAATGTTCAAACGATATATATTTAGTTTTATAAAAAAAACTAAATCAATTTAAAATTTTGAATCCTATAATAAAAACTAATTATCTTTTTATTTAACTTTTTCCTTACAACATAAAAGTCCAAATTGAATTCTTAGAGATAATAAGACATTTTTATAAGTCCATATGAACTCTTAAAAGACCCGTTAAAACTAACTCCCAAATAAAAATCTATACTAATATATAAAAGAAATATCACTTTTAATAATTATTTTTTATTTTTATTTTTACATAGATCATTTTATCCTTTATTTATTTTTCATAACTCTTTAAAACTACTTTTTTCTATAAGTAACTTCTCCTTTTTTTTCTTTTTTCTATTTTATTGTAAAAATATTATAATTATTTATAAAAATAATTATTTTTTCCTTTCAATATAATACAGGCACGCCTTTTTCCGGCTAGTAATAATAATAATAATAAAAGATAAAAGAAACCATCAATTATATATGCAATTTCTATAATTCTATCCAAAGACACTTGATAATCGAAATCCAACTAATAATAAACATTTAAAAAGAATTACACACTACTACAAACTAGAAATAACATAAGAGAAGCAACAAAAACATTGCAGGGAAAAACAAACTATGCTACAATAAAATTTCGTAGATTGCCCAGGCTTTGCAGTTTGAAAAATCCGGGCATAGAAATAAAACTATCTACAGCGCCGGTTAAAACTAAACTCGTACCTAAAACATTCTTGTCAAATTGTGATTGCTCCCTAATTCACTATTTCTGCAGGTTAATACACTCTACTTCTAATTCACAAGTCACTGCCAATTAAAAAGCCGATATCCACTTCCACTTCCTAGATCCGTGGAATCCGATTCACTTCCCATTGTCTCGTCTGAACTCTCACTTGGAAGGACTTTAATCCGATCTGCGTGCTCAACAATCCAATCAGTGAATTCTGGAGAAGCTGCCCATTCTGCTAGTGCCTGCTTTGTGGATTCTCTTGTAAACTCATCCCACTCTTGCTTTGTGAACTTCTTTCTGTTGCGGGTCTTGTGGAAGGTTGAATAATAATCCTGCCCTGTTTGAGTCCCTGAAGATTGTGACGAAATCCCAGAATATGGTGATACAACACCTGCAATAGACAAATAACATACAACATATTCATATCGTCTTTTTTGTAAACAACATATTTCTCCACAAACTTCACGCGTTTCAACAATAGTGTAAATTTCTGAATGGAACAGGCATCAGAAGTGCAATACAAATTCAGAAGATTTAATTTAAAGATCTTGTTTAATTTGCAGGGAAAAAAATGAAATCTTGCTTGGACAATACGTAGTATATCAGAAGATTGGAATTTTAAACAATACCTCGCACAGGAGAATCGGACCATGCTGATTTTTTAGGGCTATTCCACAATTTTCCTTTAGGGCTTTTCCATTGTTTTCCTTTAGGGGTTGACTTGCTAAGAAATTCTGCCCGACCAGGTCTTCCTCTCAACCGTTGCAGCGAATAGTCATCATTTCCTGAACTTTCATACCTACATCAAATCATAATGGCATATTTAGAAGTGAAAAGCTGAAGCTTTGAATGCAGTGTCATTGACAGACAATGACGGAAAAAAAAAACAAATAAAATAAGACCAGCATATGTTAGTAGATCCCACTTTCTCTTGGTTTTTTCTTGTACCAAAGGCAACAATGAGCCTTGAACCTAAAACCTTATACAAACTACCCAAACCCCCCACAACCTAAGCTAATGTATTATGGACAAATGGTTTACAATGTTCAACCATCTAATCAGATCAGAGTGACCATTTCCTACAATAGGATTCTGTGCTTTTAAATTCTACAATAGCAAAATATAACAATGCATGAAAACATCCAGGATGTGATATAAATAAATTATTAGCATCGTGACAATCATCCAATCTATTGCTGTTTAGACAAATACCATGCCCATTCAAAAGAAGAACAATACCCTTACTTAAAAGTGAAAGGTGAAGAAAGACTCAGGTTAGCTGGCATAATAAATTGAATGAAAACAGGCAAATATGGCTAACTGCTAACATGTCCAGCAGATATGATTCTACACGAAAAAATAGAATAAAACAGAAGAGAAATCAGACTTACCATCCATGAAACAGTTTTATCGCAGAAAAAAGTTTGCAAGCAGCTCCACAATAAATCAAAGCTCCAATTGCTGGAAGAGGAATTGCTAGAAGAGGATCAAGAGTGCTCTGACAGACAAAAGAAAATCAGAAAAGAATAGGAAAATGAACAGCATCCTTAAAATAGTAGTATGTAACAGACCAAAATGGACAGACATCACTATAGAACAGTCTTAATTAAAAATAAAAAATAAAAATAAAATTTAAAACAGATAAACAGATCCATCTCAGCACCAATTCATATATGGATCCAACAGACTTCATGAAAATCAGGTAAAATGAGTAATGGCATTATTACCAAACCATGCCACTTCATAAAAAATATTATCAAGTTATGCTATATTTTATATTTAACTTCATTTTCACTATTTTCAGTTTTCAAAATACTCATTTCACAACTATGCTATATTTCAATCATTTTTAAATCAAAAGGAACAGACCCATTTTACAATTTGTAATGTATTTTCAATTACTTTTTTTTGGTAACAATATTTTCAATTATTTTCTTTGCTAAGTTTTATATTTTATTTGCTTATGCTTAAAATATTTTCTAATTTATATAGTTTTTTCCCCTGAATGAACATATCAAATGATTCCAAAAGCCAAATATTGTATTTTTTATGGATTTATTAAGTTTAATTTATGCTGTAAATTTAAAATATACTAAATTCTCACACATTGACAACTTTAAAATATATTTTCAAAGATTAAAAACAAAATACTTGATGTGAACCTGCAAAATGGAAGTGGTTCCGACAATGTACATTGCCCATTTCACAAACTGAGCAACCCCAGCATCCACACTACCATCTTCTTTTGAAATAACAAACCTCCTAACAATCCAGTAGCCTAAAGCAGCTCCAGCCAAGATGATACCCAGTATTACAAAAACAGCAACCTGAAAAGCATCAAGGACAATTATTTTATGAGAGAATTGAAGATATGTCTGATAAACAAGCCAAAGTCCATAGTATGGGATACAGTTGATGATAATATATGTCCAACAAACAAGCAAAGATGGCCAGCATTCCAACAATCATCAAGAATACAAAGTATTAACAAAAGGGCCAAAGAAAGGAAAAGATAGTGTGTAAAGTGATAGCTCGAGGGTAGGTGGGCAAGCACGGATCAGGGACTAACCATTGGTGAGTGAAAGTTGCAGCAAATATCAGGGTAACAAGTATACATACAAAGGGTGAGATTCCTCCAAAAAATTAAATGATTATAGTGGCAAAGAGGAAGTTATTTCCACCTCAGCAGTATTTTCTGTTGACCAAAACATTTTTTGCTAACCCAAAGAGAATCAAATATGTATAAAGGTTATTCTAAATGGACAAAAAGCTAGCTCAATATATTCTAAAGATCAGAAACAAGGTAGGGAAGAAATTTTTATGAATGATGCACTGACTGCAAAAACAAAATGTTTCAAATCAGTCCAAAAATGTTATCTAATCATACATGATAAATATACGTAAAGGTCAGAAGTAAAAGGTAACAAAAAGGATTAGAAATCCAGATGTGGAAATAGATGTTAGCCATTCAGCATGCATTGTATAACTATAATACACAGATATATCTAAAATAGAAATGGACTGTATACTTACTGAATTGTGCATCTCCTCACTCAGCCCAAGGCTCTGAAAAATTGAATTTAAGATCAAAGAGAATTGGTGCAAAAGGAATGACCCTGCTCCAACCTGAAATAGAACAAGTATAATATTAAGACCGTTGAAACATGACAATCTGGAACAATGGCCGAAAGTTACATCATCACCACTGATCCATATATGGTAAGGTATAAGATATTTTTTCTTCCAGTTGGCATTAATTTCATACCCTACACCATAATTAGAAGAAATTAGTTAGAAAACATGTCAAACAATCAAGGAAAACTCGTAAGCAATAAAACAAAATGAAATCCATATATGGAGAGTAATTATTTATATACCTGAAAAAGAATGATTATAATGACAAGAAAGATCCCTATAGCCATTGACGTGCTATAATAAAACGGAACCCAACTGCTAACAATTGGAGCCAACAACAGCAGTATCAATCCCACCGCAAGACAAATGAGGCGCCATTGCTGAAATTCTGCAACATTTTCGTATAACATAAAAAAATTAGCACCAAAAGTATAAAAAAAATGCAAAGGAAAGATACAACATAAGAATAAGGATTTGTTCAATTCTCTTATCACTTTTTTGGTTTTATAAACTGTTAATAAAATAATTCCACACTGCTTTCAGAATAAGGATTTGTTCCATCCTCTTGTCGTGCTTTCAAGTGTTTTGTTCAAGTGCTCAATGGGCAAAATTTTAGAAAATAAAAATGGGCTCAGTGAACAAGATATTTCAAATGTGATCAAGGGACAAACAAATTTTACAAAACACAAACATTTTTTTGAAAACAGTAAACAAAAAAAGCCTAACTTCCCCCAACCCACCATCACCCACACACCCCTTATTTAAGGTAGAAGAAACTAACCTTCTTCAAGAGCAACTGTAACAGAACCCGATATTTCTCCACTGATCCTCACATCAACGTATCTGGTTTGATAAGGTGACATAACACCATTCCAGACCCCCTTTTGCACACTCATCCATTCATCCTTTTTGCACTGACACCATCCAAGTTTATCATTCCTGCACATTATAAACAAGAAATGACAATCCTAACAGGCTTCACAAGAAGTAGAAACAATGATTATGAGAGAGTTTGTGTGCCAAGCATGCACCGGAGTGAAGTACGTGCAGTGACAGCAATGTCATAAGGCTTAATTACATTTTTATCCCCTAATTTCTCAATTTTGCAAATTTCATCTCGCATTATCTTTTGTGAATTCATCCTCCAACTATTTCAATTGTACAATTTTGGTTCAGCCGCTAATTTAACATCTAATGTTTAGCAAAAAAATGTCAATGTCATAATCTAACACACTTCTGTGTCAGTGTATACATGCTAACATGATACTCTACTACACTGTCATTTCAGTTAAATATCGATTGTTACTTTTTTCTTTTATCAGCAGGA